ATTGATTTTTAAAAATTATTGTTCTTCATTCCAGTCCACTGATCTCTGCACTCATCTTTAAAATTAAATTTATTGTGGTAACTGATTAATAACATAAGTTTCAAGTGTACAGTTCTCTGTCATCTGTATATTGCATTGTGTGCTTACCTCTCAGAGTCTAGTCTCCCTCCATAACCATATATTTTACCTCCTTTATACTCTTCATTCTCCCTCAGACCCTCTTCTTTTCTGGTAACCACCCTTCTGTTGTCTGTGTCTATGAGTTTGTTTTATTTTGTTCGTTTGTTTGTTGCTTTTTGTTTTATATCCCACACATGAGTGAAATTATAGTAAGATCTATATGACTTCCATCTGACTTATTTTGCTTAGCATAATACTCTGAAGATTCATCTATGTTGTCTCAAATGGCAGTCAGTATGTCATCCTTTCTTACGGCTGAGTAGTATTCCATTGAATATATGTACCACATCTTTATCCAGTCATCCATCAAAAAGCACAGAGGTTGTTTCCGTGTCTTGGCCACTGTGTGTAATGATGCAGTGAACATAGGAGTACATATATCATTATGAATAAACGTTTTCAGCATTTTCAAGCAGATACGCAGAAAATGGATTGTTGGGTCACATGGTAACTCTTTTAACTTTTTGAGGAACCTCCATAGTGTTTTACGTAATGGCTGTACCAGTTTCCAGTCCCGACAGCAGTGTGTGAGGGTTCCTTTGTCTCCTCATCCTCTCCAACATTTGTTATTTCCTGACTTATAGGTAATAGCCATTCTAACAGATGTGAAGTGGTATTTCATTGTGGTTTTAATTTCCCTATAGCTTGTGAAGTTGAGCATCTTTTCATATATCTGTTGGTCATTTGCTTGTCTTATGGAAAGGTATCTGTTTAGGTCCTCTGCACATTTTTTAAATAAGATTGTTCGGATTTTTGTTTTCGAGTTGTGTGAATTCTTTATATATTTTGAATATTAGCTCCTTATTGGAGGTATTGTTTGCAAATGTCTTGACCCATTCAGTTGGTTGCCTTTCTGTGTTGTTGACGGTTTCTTCTGCTGTGCAGAAGCTTTTTAGTTTGATGTAGTCTCCATTCGCTTATTTTTGCTTTTATTTCCCTTTCCTTTGGGGTCAAGTTCATAAAATCCTCTGAGACCAAGGTCTGAAGTTTAATACCTGTTTTGTTCTATGTATTTTATTGTTTCAGGTCTTATATTTAAGTCTTTAATTATTTTTTGAGTTAGTTTTTGTGTATGATGTCATAGAGCAGTCTAGTTTCATTCTTTTGCGTGTGGCTTTCCAATTTTCCCATCACCACTTATTGAAGAGGATTTTATTTTCTCCATTGTATGTTTTTGGCTCCTTTGTAGAAAATTAGTTACCCATATACATGTGAATTTATTTCTGGGCTTTCAGTTCTGTTCTATTGGTCTGTGTGTCTGTTTTTGTGCCAGTACCATAGCATTTTGATTATTGTAGCTTTGTAGTATAAGTTAAAGTCAGAGAGTGCTATATCTCCAGCTTTGTTCTTTTTTCTCAGGGTTGCTTTGACTATTTGGGATTTCCTGTGATTTCATACAAATTTGATAATTTTTTGTTCTGTTTCTTTGAAAAATGTCATTTCGCTCTGATCTTTATTATTTCTTGCTGTGGGCTTGGTTTACTCTTCTTTTTCTAATTTCTTAATTGTGGAAGCCTAGGTTATTGATTTGAGGCCTTTCTTCTTTTCTGGTATAGGTGTTTAAAGTTATAAATTCCCCTCCAAGCATTACTACATCTCATAATTTTTGACTTGTTATGTTTCATTTTCATTCAATTTCAAATATTTGGTCACTTTCCGTTTGATTTATTCTTGATCCATGGGTTACTTAGAAATAACTTGTTTAATTTCCAAATATTTTGGGATTTCCCCATTTTATTTTTTGTTGTTGACTTACAGTTTAATTCAGTTGTGGTTGGGGAACATACTTTGATTATTTCTGTCCTTCTAAATGTATTGAAACTTGTTTTATGATTGGCATTTAATCTATCCTTGAAATGTCCATATGCACTTGAAAAAAATGTGTATTTTACAGTCATTGGGTTGAATGTTCTAGGTTGACTAATTGTTTTTCAAGTCTTCTATATCCTTGATGATTTTCTGTCCAGTCGTTCTATAGGTATAGATATCGCCAACTATTATTGTTAAATGATCTATAGCTCCTTTAGTTTTGTCAAGTTTTGATTCATGTATTTTGATGCTCTGTTAAATGTGTGTCTATGTTTATCATTTTTATATCATCCTGATGTATTGACCTCTTTCTCGTTATGAACTCTTTATCTCTTGTAATATTTTTGTCTTACATTCTATTGATGTTAATATAGCCACTTCTGATCTCTTATGGTTACTGTTTGCATGGCATATATATTTTCCCATTGCTTTCCTTTCATCCTGTTTGTATTTTTTAATCTAATGTGGTTACTTCTAGATAGTATATAATTGGATTTTGCTTTTATATCCTGTCTGGCAATCTCTGTCTTTTGGTTGGGGTGTTTAGTTGTATTTACCTTTGCCATTTTCTATTTGTTCTATGTAAGTCTCCTGTCCTTTTTGTTTTCCTCTTCCTCTTCGACTGCTTTCTTTTGTGTTAAGTAAACATTTTCAGTGTATCATTTTAATTTCTCTGTCAATATTTTTACTTTCCCCCTATTTTTTTCTTAGTTGTTACTCTAGGGATTATGATATACATTTTAATTTACCATAATCTACTTCAGATTAATACTAAATTCTAGTAAAATATAGAATCTTGGCTTTAATGTAGTTTCATTGTCTCTCTGCTTCTGTTTGCTATTATTGTCATGCATATTATATGTGTATGTGTTATAAATCTAACAATCTAGTGTTATAATTATTGCTTCATACAAGTTTATGTTCTTTTAAAGCAGTTAAGAGAAATGAAAAGAATGTACCTATATATCTTTTATATCACTATACATATTTGCCATTTCTAGTGCTCTTTATTTCTCCTTGATTATTCATATCACTGTTTAAAGTCAATATTTCAGTCTAAAGAACTTCCTTTAGCATTTTTAGAAAGTCAGATCTATTATCAGTGTATTCCCTCTGTCATTGCTTATTTGGGAATGTCCTTTTTCAGCCTTCATTTTTGTAGGATCTTTTTGCTGGATTAGAATTCATGCCTTTTTATTTTAGCACTTTGAATATAGTATTCTACTGCCCTCTCTTCCATCGATTTAGGTGAAAAGTCATCCATTAATTATATTGATACTCCTCCATACAAGGTGATCAGGAGTTTTTTATCTTGCCGCTGTTAAAGTTTTCTTTGTCTTATGCTTTCAGCAGTTTGTGTCTGTCTGTGGATCCTTTTGTATTTATGCTGCTTGGGATTTGTTGTGCTCTTAAGTGCATAGATTAATGTTTTTCATCAAATTTAGGAAGTTTTTTGGCTATTATGTCTTCAGATATTCCTTTTGTCTTCAGATATTCCTTTTCTTCTGAGACCCCTATTGTGCAAATGTTGCTACACTTGGTCATATTCCATGGATCTCTAAAGCTTTATTCTTTTTCTTCTTTTTAAAAAAATTTTCCTCATCTGGATTATCTTAGTTTACCTGTCTTCAAGTTTACTGGTTCTTTCCACTGCCAGTACAAGTCAACTGTTGAACTGTAGATTTGAATTTTTTACTCCAGTTATTATACTTTCCAAATCCAGAATTTCTGTTTGGTTCCTTTAAAAAACTTATTTCTATCTCTATATTAATATTCTCTTTGGTGAGGCATGATTGTCATGCCTTTAATTCCCTTTAATTCTGTGGACGTGGCTTCCTTTACTTCTTTGAACATATTTATATTAGTTGACCTAAAGTCTTTGCCTAGTAAATCCAACATCTGGGCTTTCTCAGGAATGATGTTTATTGACTGCCTCCCATCCAACATCTGGGCTTTCTCAGGAATAATGTTTATTCCTCCCCCCACCCCCTATACATGGGCTATACTTTACTATTTCTTTGTGTGTGTGATAAATTTTGTCAAAAAATGGATATTTTAAATAATACGATGTGGTAATTTTAATAATCAGGTTTTCCCTTTCCCTATCCTCAGAGTTGTTGTCGCTGTTTGTTTAGTGGCTTTCCTGGGCTAATTGTGCAGCCTTTATTCTGTGTTATGTGCAGACATTGAATTGTTTGCTTGGTTAGCTGAGTCATCAGATAATGACTTGACAGATTTTCTTAAATGCTTTAAACCAGCATGTCTTTCACCCCTTCCAGAGGGCATTTTGTGTGTTGGGGCATACCTTCCCTGCTCTTGCAGTTTACAACTGCCTCAGGCTTCACTTCCTGCTTGTACAGAAGCATAGGTGAGAAATTAGGGCTCTGTCAGGTCTTTCCTGGGCATTTGCACAGCCTTCCACATCTGCATGGCCTTTTAGGTTCCTAGCAATTGTCAAAGCCCACTATTGACATCTTATTCCTCAGATTTCCCTTTTAAGTGTTTTTGTCCAGCTTTTTGTTTGCCCCAACTGGGACCACTGGCTCTGGCAAATGTAATGTTGAACAATTGCCACTGATTTTGAGGGACAAACTCCCTGGGGATATAGGGCCTTCCTCACTAAATGAGCTAGGAGTCAGATGAAATAAAGATTAGCTGCATGAATGGGGCTTTTCTAGGGAGCACCAGTCAGGTCAAATAGTGATAGTTCTCTGGGGACAGGGCTTTTGAGGGAGCTCCAAACCCATTTGCCTCCTCCAGTGCTGCTGGGCTTCTGCCTTTCATAGCTACTGGGATTGTTGCATGCCTTTGCTAATTTCTAGAGTGCTGAAAAAGTAGATTTTGAAAATTTATGCCGTTGTTCTCATTGTTTTTTATGAAGGAATGGATTTTCAGTGGTCCTTCATCCATAATTCCAAAAGTGCTTTTCAGCCTTTCTGCTTTTAACCATTATGCATATTGCCTCTGTTGCTTTTGATATCTAATGATGGTCTATGTACATTTATTGACAGCCATGAAAGTCCACTCTTTGATTTCATTGAGAGCTGCTTGCGAAATAAACATGAAATGGTTATTTATGAAGCAGCTTCAGCTATCATCCATCTTCCTAACTGTACTGCAAGGGAGCTGGCACCTGCTGTTTCAGGTGGGTTGTATATTTGATAGCTGGCTTTTGTTTATATTCCTATGTTTGTTTTAAGCTCCATAGATCTGCAGAATAGGTATTAGGAATGATTTTTGAATCTTAGCTCTGTATATATAGCCTTTGCACTCTGATATATAAATGAAATTTTTAGTTGTTTCTTTACTTCTTTTCAGAAGTTATCATTTCCCCATATAAAACATTTAAAAAGTAACTTTAATGCCTACAGTTCTTCTTAGTGTTTAAAAAATCCATTTGCTCTTATAACTATAAATATTCCCACCATTCAGGTATTGATGGGTATACTAATTCTTTTTGAAAAAAGAATAAACTTTGTATTCTATATTTAAAGTTTTTATACCTTAATAAAGGGTATTTTTCTATTTTTGATACATTATTCATGTGAATTTTTGATGCTGTGATCTAATTTCCTTATGCATATTTTGAATGTGATTGTTCATGCACTATATTTTCAGTTACATGCTCTATGATTAAATGAGCTATAGTTGCAGTGATCTTTTTTCTTTTCTAGTTCTTCAGTTGTTCTGTAGCTCTCCTAAGCCAGCTTTGAGATATGCAGCTGTGAGGACCTTGAACAAGGTAGGTGTCCCTTTGTTATTGACATTTATATCAATGTTTGATTGAGAAACAATTGTGAAGTATTTGACTTTCTCTCCAAGTAAATATGATTTATTGGCTTCAGTTCTATAGCATCTCACTTGTATTTGTGGCCTTAGGTATGGCCATTTTCACTATTATTCAACTAAAGATTATAATTCACTTCTGACTTTTAAGCACTGTATAGTCAAGAGCCACGCTGCCCGGCCGGGCGTGGCTCAGCGGTTGAGCATCGACCAGGGATCCAGGCAATTGGGGTTCGATTCCCGGTCAGGGCACATGCCTGGGTTGCGGGCTCGATCAATGACTCTCTCATCATTGATGTTTCTATCCCTCTCTCCCCCTCTCCTTTCCTCTCTCTGAAATCAATAAAGATATATTTAATAAATAAATTAAATAATTTTAAAGGTGAGATTGATTTTAATAATATATTTTATTTACTCTAATATATATAAAATGTATTAACATGCAATCAGTATAACGTTTTATAAGATGTAAGATGTATTTTGCCTTTTATTTTTTCCTACTAAATCTTGCACATCTAGTGTTTATTTTATATTTACAGCATATCTCAATTTGGGCAAGCCACATTTCAAATGCTTAGTAGTCACATGTCGTTATTGACTACTGTACGGCATGGGTCTAGAGGATGCAGTACGGAAATACAGAATCAATTAAATAACCATAGAATTTTTAAATGAAAGTTTAATATGGTAGAAGACTCGTCATAAGGTGGTATGTGATTGATTATGGATTAATTGTATGAATAATTGGACAAGAGAGAAGTTTAGAGTAGCCAAGGAAGAAGACTTTATAGAACAGCAATGTGAATTGTATTTACAAGAGTTGATATAGGGCCCAGCCGGACATGGCTCAGCGGTTGCGCGTTGACCTAGGATCCAGGCGATCGGGGTTCTATTCCCTGTCAGGGCACGTGCCCGGGTTGTGGGCTCAGTCCCCAGTTGGGGGCTTGCAGGAGACAGCCGATCAGTGACTCTCATCATTGATGTTTCTGCCTCTCTCTCTCTGCCTCTCCTTTCCTCTCTCTGAAATCAATAAAGATATATTTTTTTTAAAAAAAGAGTTGATATAGGTCCACATTCCTTCATCTATGCTCTTGGAGCCAGATGTGTCTCAGAATTCTGTATTTTGTGAAATTTAGAAAGTTTATATGACGCTATCTCTTAGGTTATATACTAACCCCATTGGACCTGGAGCTATACCCCACCATTAGATACGTTAATATTTCTGCACGATACATATGACTATGCTTGCTAAGTGGAATAAATTAAGACTTAATTAGTGTTACATTAGTTTGGATCGTATTTTGCTGTTAAGTGAATTTTGATGCCAATACTTTGCTGTTTTCAAATCTTTTTATTGCTATAGGCAAGGAGGTAAATGACATCTACAAAAAGAAACAGAAGAATGGCTGATATATTTTAGTGACCATGAGCAATCCAGTTTGGATGAAGTTTGCTTGCTTAAGTACAGAAGTGTTTTCTAAGTGATAAGATATTAACAGTCTTTGAGCAGTATCTACCATGCAAGGTCCCATTTCCAGAGATCCTAACGTCTAGTCCAATAGATATCCATGTACACATGTACTGTAGGGAAAAACAGGCCAACTGTAATAAAAGACAGATATTGTTAGAAAGGCCATAGAAACCTAGGAAGAGAAAGTACTCTGCTGTACTATGACTATGGTTGTTAATCATTTATCAAATGGTATATCATACCTTTTTAATTTGAAACATTCTTGAAACAATTACTTTTAACCTATGTTGTCCCATTTAGATTTTAAAAAATTACTTACCTTAAATTAAAATTTCTATTTTTCTCTTCTTTCATTTTTTAAAATTCTTGCCTTTATCGATAGCAATTTGCTTAATATTTTTCTTGCCCTTCCACAAGGTGGCAATGAAGCACCCCTCTGCTGTGACAGCCTGCAATCTGGACTTAGAAAACTTGATCACAGACTCTAACAGAAGCATCGCTACCCTGGCCATTACTACACTCCTCAAAACAGGAAGTGAGAGCAGTGTGGACAGACTCATGAAGCAGATATCTTCTTTTGTGTCTGAAATCTCAGATGAGTTCAAGGTAAGAGTTTAAGTGTGATTATGTTTTCTTCCAGTCTCTCTGGCTTTCCTATTTCTTTACAGTGTCTTTTGATGAGCAAAAGTTTTAAATGCTTATGAAGTCTAATTTATTAATTTTTTTGTTTCACAGTTATTTCTTTCTGTGTCCTACAAAACCTTTGGCTATTTCCAGGTCTTAAAGATATTTTCTTATGTTTTATTCTAAATGTTTTATGGTCTTAGCTTTTACATTTTGGTCTGTGATCCAACTTGAATTAATATTTGTGTAGTGTGTGTGATAAGTTCAGTTTTCCCCCATATTAATATCCAGTCATTCCAGCATAATTTGTTGAAAAGACACATTGGTGTGCTTGGGCATCTTTGTCTGGAAAGCAGATAACCATATACTTGTAGGTATATTTCTGGGCTCCTAATCATATCCTATTGATCTTTTTGTCATCACTATGCAAATACCACACTCTATTTATTATTGTAGTTTTATGGTACCTCTTAAATGTCAAGTAGTGTGGTCTTCCAATTTTGTCCTTCTTTTAATATTCTAGTTCCTTTGCATTTCCCTATAAAGTTTAGAACCAGCTTATAACTTCTATAAAACAAAGCCTGCCAGAATTATGATTGGGGTTGTGTTGAATCTACAAATCTATTTGGAAAGAACTGACATTTTAACAATATTAACTCTTCTAGTTCATGAATATGGTATACCTTCCCTTTATTTAGGTTTGTACTCTGAGCAGTGTTTTGTAGCATTTATTCTACAGGTCTTGCACATCTTTTGTTAAATTTATATCTGAATATTTTATGCTTGTGATTCTACTTTATTAAAATTTCTATTTCATTGTTTATTACCAGTATATGAAAAATCTTTGTTTTTTTGTTTCTAATTTTTTTACTTTTCCATAACTTAGTATCCTTCCTAAGTACCCTTGTTAGTTTTAGTAGTTGCTATATATTTTATACATTCCTTAGGATTGCCTATATAAATAATCATGTTATCTGTTAACGGAGACAGACAGTTTTACTCCTTCATTTCCAATCCAAGAGCTTTTCCTTTCTTTTTTTCTTGCCTTATTAAAATGGCTAGAACTTCCAGTACAGTGTTGAATAGAACTGGTGAAAATGTTAGAGATAATCAGAACAGTAAATCTCAGTTAGAAGAATTAAAGTGGAAAGATTTTATTCTTTTTGTCTTCTCAGTCAAAGGGTATAATCGGTGCTATTTACTCTCTTCTAGTATATAACTAGTCTTTTAAAAAGCTAACTTGGCCTATATATTCAAGCAGACATTTTGGAAAACTTATGAAGGTCATTTTGTAGTATAATTTATTGACTGCATCTCCTATGCTTGAGCATTGAGATAGTTTGCAGTATTTTGCAATTACATAGAATGCTGCAATGGACAACCTTTTATGTATGTTTCCTCAGAATGTTGGAGATGTATCTTTAGGGTAAATTCCTAGAAGTCCATATGCTAGGTTGAAGGGTAAATAAATATGTAGTTTTGAAAAAATGCTAAGTTCTACCAGCAGTGTATAAGAGTGTCAGTTTCCTTGTAGCCTTACCAATGGAGTGTATTGTATTTTGATATTTTGTGAACCTGATAAATGAGAAAGGGTATCTGAATGTAGTTTTAATTTGGGTTTCTTTTATTATGAGGGAAGTTGCACATCTTTTCTTATTTTTTAGAATCATTTAATATTTCTTTTTGAAATTGTCTGCTTATCTTTTCCCCATTTTCTATAGGATTTTAGTTTTTTTATTTCCTCAATTATTTAGTTTTTTGTATATTAGGGATATTAGTTCTTTATCCATGACAGGGGTGGGGAACCTTTTTTGGCCAAGGGCCATTTGGATATTTATAATACTGTTCGAAGACCATACAAAATTATCAACTTAAAAATTAGCTATAAAGAAAGCTCCTAGATTTATTGAATTTCGGGTCCCACCTGCAGTTGCCTTGGCAGGGACAGACTAAATGATTCGGACGTTCCCTACCCCTGATCTATGAAATATGTTATGTTTTCTCCCAGTTTGCCATTTGTCTTTTAACTTTTTTTTTTTATGATGTCTTTTGTTATGCAGAAGTTTATTTTGATGTAGTCAGATTTGTCAATCTTTTCTTTTAGTGCTTTGACTTTTGAGTAATAGAAAGCCTTTCCCTTCAGATTATAGAATCTGAATGGTTGAATAAGAATTCACCCATGTTTTCTTCTAGTATGTTTATAGTTTCATGTTTTACATTTACATCTCTGATCCATTGGCTTTTATTATTATGTATGATATGAGAAACAGATCTAATCTCATTCTTTTCCAATAACTATCCTGTTGCCCTTAACCCCCAATTTTTATTCAATAGACTGTTTTTGCTCAAGTTATTTGAGATACCATCGTCAACATATACCAAAGTACTACTGTATGTACTTGGGTCTATTTTGGGGCTTTCTATTTTATTATGTTCTCTTTATTGATACATCGCTAACATGTACTATAGAAGCTTTGTAGAATGTATTAATATCTATTAGCTGCCTCTCATAGCTCTTTATTTTCATTGTTTCCCTAGCTAGACTTACATGTATATTTTTCCTTATGAACTGTAGTGTTAACTTGTCTAGCTTCATAAAAATATCTCATTGGCATTTTTATTGGGATCACATTAAATTTATAAGTTAACTTAGGGTAGAACATATGTCTTTTTTAAAAAAATTTATCTTTATTGTTGAAAGTATTACACATGTTCCCCTTTGTCCCCCATTGACCCTTTCTACTGCACCCCCCTCCCCCCCGCTGCCCCAGGCCTTCACCACACTATCGTCCATATCCATGGGTTATGCATTTATGCATATAAGCTCTTTGGTTAATCTCTACCCACCCATCCACCCCTGCCTTCCCTCTGAGATTCCCCAGTTTGTTCCATGCTTCTATGTGTAGAACTTTCTTTCTCTTTCTTTCTTTCTTTCTTTCTTTCTTTCTTTCTTTCTTTCTTTCTTTCTTTCTTTCTTTCTTT